TATTTTGATCAATAAAAAAATATATCACAACTATGATAATATGTATAATTAACTATGTTTTAGTTGAATTTATGAACTGTTACAATTGACCCCGTAAGTGGGGACAATTGTAACAAGTGCACGACTGTCAAAAATTGTTAATAACTAATATAATAACATTTAAAATAAGGTATTTATTTTTTTGTCTAGTAGAGGATAGTCTACTTTACGCGTCAGTCAACTAATACTAATATATTAGATTTTTTTTTGTTAGTTAAAAATAGTTACGTAAAAAATGTTACAATTGACCCCACTCTCCCCTACTGAAAAAATTTTCCGGCAAAATTCTTCAAATTCAGAGAGGGCTGCTTTATCAAATTTTAGGGTAAAGTATTGATAGAAAATTTTCTTTCTTTAAGATAAGTTTTGCAATCCCTACTACGGTATCTTTCGTGAAAATATGTGATCGAAATTTTTAATCTTTTGATATTTTGAAGTGATGAGTTTTGGAAACTTATACCAAAGGACAATTCATTTCTATTCTTTAATTGAAAATTTTGTAAACATAGTCATTAATTTCTTTCATACAATTACAAATTTTATTTCTTTTACAAATGCATACAAATACATACATACAAATTTTATTTCTTTTGCAAAAAAATAAAATTTTTGAAAATTTCGAGTTCAGGAAATGTATTACTGTGAAGCAATATTAGTTAGGTTTACAAAATGAACTGTTGAAAAAGGTAAACAAGATTTTTAATTAAAAAAATTGATCCCTTTTTTGTTTACTCTTTGATCTATTGAAAAATTTAAAAGAAGAGAGATTCACAAAGAGATAAATAATACGAAAAGTTATTAGTATTATTGTAATTATTATTTTAGTTTCATGAAATATTTGACAGTTGATTTTTAATTCATTGTTTTTTCCTTTTCAGTCTAAGAAGACTGTATGTATGAGAGCAGTTGCTGCGTTGATGATTTTCTTGCATTATTATTTATTAACTATATATTATGAGTTGCAATGTGTGCCCCTAAATTTTCTTGAACGAAATAAAACCCTTTTGGCTAATTGATTTTGTCGTTATTAGAAATGCGAGTAATTTTTGCTTTTATTCCCTTTTTAATAGTTTATCAATCTAAAAGAAGGAAATTTCATTACTTTTGCTACATTATTGTCATTAATGCATATTTTTTGGAGACATTTAGGTAAGAATCTGCAAATAAAATTTAAGTGTGGGAGAAACAAAAGCCCAGTCGAATCCGTGATACCCCCACCGTTATTGTTGTATACATTTTATTGAAAGCGAGGGGCGCGATGACAATTACAAACTGGGCCTCGAATACATAAAGGTTGAGAAACGCTAGATTAAATCATTGTTTCAGCAGTGGTAGCTCAGGGGCTAGAGCACTCGCCTCCCAATGAGATGAGCCGGCTTCTAATCCCGGGAATGGCTGGTTGATTCAAATTCCGCAACCAGCTAGCACCAACCACAATACTGACGTAAAATATTCCCAGTGGTAGACGGATCATGGGTTAGAGTCCCCTTGCCGTTAGACTAGCCGTGGGACATTCTCTCCATGTAACGCAAATGCGGATTAGGTCCATTAAAAAGACCACTACGATGGCAAATTTGTCCCAATACTTGATCCAGGAGTTCCCTTGTCTTCTAGATTGGATTCAAAACTACAAGGTTACGGAGTTGAACATTAGTAGTCATAAACTGAAAATTCGGTCTGCTGTTCAACGACGGTTATAAAATAGGAAATTAAGCCATTGCTGACACAACCACTACACTTTCCAATAAGAAAACATGTTTCGTCCATAGGTTCAATTAAAAACTTTACAGCAACAGTGATACAGTGTCGTTGGTATTGGGGTACATTACTTAATGAAGGATATTTATCCTATTGCTAAATTGTGAAGAACGAAGTATATATCACCCAATGTCAATAACTCTGCAGGATTGCATCAATGCAGCTACATCGAATGAAACAAGCTATTTTTAAAATATGGGCAGAACTTGTTTTCAATTGGGATATGCGCCAACTGACAAAGGGTTCTCCCATTTGTGATACGTATCAGAAAGTTGGTGAGTGTGTCTCTCTTACCATGTTTTACCTATATTTCAACAAAGTGTACTTGTAAACAGACTGTCCTTTGAAACGGGATGAATAATTTTAATTTATTTTATAACCCAAAATTGCGTGACGTTGAACACTAAACCCATTTTTGGGCTTCTGTCTAACAATGTTCAATTCTGTTGCCATATAATTTTGAATCAAACCCTGAAGAAAATTGGAACTTTTAGTTCAAGTATTGGAAAACTTGAAGGGTTAATTGATAAGACTAACCCACATTTGCTTTACATGAGAGGACAAAAGGATTCCAACCCATGATTCAACTGCCACTGAGGATATTTTACGTCAGCACTGTAATTGGTGTGTTCAAAAAATTATGAGAAAGGACTGAAATTTCAATAATTTTTAATGAAATTTGTTTATAAATTTTTGTAATTTTTTTTACATTAATTAAAGCACATATGAAGACTTGTGTAATATATTTGCCCAGTTCTTTCCCTTCTCAAAATAACTATCTAAACACACAAACGCATAAAATTCTATATAACATTTATAGTATCATTAAAAATATTAAATGTCGAATTTTCCTCTTTCTATGTGACAGTTATAAAATTTTGACTATCTCTCTCTCTCTCTCTCTCTCTCTCTCTCTATATATATATATATATAAATTTATNTCTTTATAATTAAAGTTCCACTTTGAAATGGCTATAAAAATATAACTACCCGACCAAATGTCATCAAACTTGGTAAATGTCTATAAGAGGTCATGGGATTTTAGTTCCCGCAAAAAAAAAAATCGTTCAAAAATTCACCTCCAGCGGAGAATGGCGCTGTATGCAATAGTGTTAAACAAATGTGAAATATGCAAATTTGTTTTACACGTCATGTGACTTTGCAGTTATAAAAGTGAGGCGCCTTGTCTGAGCTGTCAGTGTTCTGAGTCGACAATGTCTGTTACAATGCAAGACCGTGCTTTACTCGTGAAATGTTACTATGAATGCGACAGCAATGAACGGAGGGCTTTACAAAAGTTCCGTACTGTAAGAGGAAAACGCCGAGGTCCAATGACACAGCAATGTTTACGGAAAATGATGGCAAAATTTCAAGCCACAGGTTTGTTATCTGTTGCACCTGTTATTTCGTTTAACCTTATCCTAACCGTTAACCATTCACCGCTGGTGGTGAATTTTTGAACTTTTTTCTTTTTTTTTTGCGGGAACTAAAATCACATAACCTCTTATAGACATTTACCAAGTTTGATGACATTTGGTTGGTTAGTTTTATTTTTATATCCATTTCAAAGTGGAACTTTAATTATAAAGACTCTATATATATACACACAAGCTTTTCTAACGGTATACAATTTCATAATAGAGTGTTTAATAGCAATTTACATGCATAGGTAATTCATTTTATTCATTCATTTATCTTGATATGTTCAAAAGCATTTCTACTCTGTGAATCAAAAATGATCATATATCTCAAAAATAATTTCTATAATATTTTGAAACTTGAAAAATTTAGGTAGTATACTGTCAACTCTTTATTCTTTACCCCGAACAAATCCAGAATTATCACAGAGTAATCTTTACTAATTTGCTAATATCTTACCTGGAGTTAAGCGAGATATCATTGTAAGGAAATCCTCTTTGAAAAACTGATAAAACGATTGCATCACAACAACTCAGAGCTTCACTAATGATGCTGTGACAATTTTCTGTAAACTTCTGATATCCTGAAAGAAAATTACAACTTTTACTGCATTATACTATTTTTTTATTATCAAAATTAGATCCAAAAGGCAATTTAATTTTATTACATTAAATATTATAGTCAAACGAAGGTATTCAACGATATATTGCACGAAATTTTCCTGCTCTTCAAAACGAAATTATAAACTATAAATAACTTTTAGTCATACTTAAAAGTATTTGACAATATATTGCATTTCATGCTCTTCAAAACGAAATTATAAACTATAAATGTCTTATAGCCATGATTAAAGATATTTAACGATATATTGCACGAACCTTTCGTGTTACTCAGAGCAAAATTATAAACTATAAATAACTTTTTGTGATACTTTTATTTGTTTCACTCCTGCATAATTAGAAGACTAAAAGTCAGGTTCACAAATAAAGTTAGTTGTTACTGCTAATCACATTCACAACAGAAACAGAGTAGATTTAGAAACCAAAAATTAAAGCAAATGTTTTTGGGATCCAAAAAGTTTAAATAAAGGGAGGATCATGCATTAGTTAAGACATCGTAAGACAAAACCTCAAAAACGAAACATTTTTTGACCAAATGAAACTTTCAAGAAGAAATTGAAGACAATTTTCAATATAAATTCAATGATTTAAAGAATTTTCAATGCATAATATCAAATTTCTGAGAATCTTTTACAATAAAGAAATTAAGGAAAATGTGCGCATCTATAACTAAAAAAAAAAATAATAAATACATTCACTTAATTTTTGCTTCCATTATTAATACCAATAATAGAAGAGTACGAATTTTCCAAAACTGATTGATTCTCACATCAATTCAGATAAGACATATTAGCTTAATTCAGACATATTAAGACTAATAGTTTCTCTTCTTAAAATGTTGATAACTAATACCGCTCATTAGATCTCTAAAATGAGACTAAAAACGATAATCATCGTAGTCTATAAGGAGACTTTCCTATATAAAATTAAATAATGGGCCCTCAAAAGTTTTAAATTGGTAAAATGACTTCAATCTCATTCCTATGAAGGACAAAATTAGAAATTCGCTATAAAAAATTATAATAAAAAAATCACGGTTTGAAGTGCGTTGTTGCATGTCCACATCCAACTTCATGTTCAATTTTGTAACCGCGATGTGTTGCATTGTATCTCAGAACAAACTTCTTACATTTGCAGAATTAGTCATTGTTTCATTACTAGTTATAAGATTTAGTCTTTTTTGAAAATGCCTATTCGATGTGTCAGAAAGATGTTTACGAGGGATAAGTCACCGAAAACTAGATAAGTCACCGAAAGATTGATAAGTCACCGTAAAATTGATAAGTCACCGAAAGATTGATAAGTCACCGAAAGATTGATTAGTCACTGAAAGATTGATTAGTCACTGAAAGATGGGCAAGTCACTGAGAGATGGACAAGTCACTGAAAGATGGGCAAGTCACTGAAAGATGGACAAGTCACTGAGAGATGGACAAGTCACTGAAAGATGGACAAGTCACTGAAAGATGGACAAGTCACTGAAAGACGGATAAGTCACTGAAAGATGGATAAGTAGGAAAATGGATTATGGTTGGACAAGTCACAAAAAAATGATGAATAAGTCACAATAAGTTACAAAAAAAAACGGATGGGTAAAGGGCAAAAGATGGATAAATTAAAAAATTATTTCGATTTTAAATAAATATTATTCAATTTTTGTTTGGTGATTATTTTTGAGAGAAAATCTTCTAAATAATAAGCATGAGTGTTTAAATTTACAATTTTAGATAAAAATAAAACGGAAAGTCTTATTTTCGGATATTTTAATTGTTCTAAGGGCATCCGGTAAGAATATTATATATCCTAGGGAGATTTAAAAAATGGCGAAAAAAGCGATTTTTATTTAGAATTTCGAAGCTTAGATAAGAGCAAAACTATTAAAAGCAATAAAATAATTTTAACAGAAAATTGAAGAATTTAACTACTTAAATATTTTGTAGTTATTTTTTCTTAGTACAACAGAAGGATAAATTTTTAAACTTTTAGAATTTCTTGCTCTTTGTAATATATATTTGTATTGTATTTCTTCACATTTCAAACTATAAGATCTTATTAAGATTATCTGTTCAAAAAGTTACTTGAAAAAATTTCTTACTTTTCTTATAAATTTTCACAGTAATTAAAACTGCAACCTAAGAAGATAAATCCAGTTACATTTTTACATTTATGCTTTATCTAAAAGCATAAGCACATAAAAAAAATTTTGAAACGGTTCAAATTGTACCAGATGTGCCAAAATAGTTTGATTTTCGAAGAATATTTTAATTTACATTCGATTTATACAAATAATACTAAAACAAAAGATAAAATATACCCTACCTACAGCTGGTATAGATACAGCCTGATTCATTATAGATGAAGCAAATAGTGCAGTGTCCGGAGAACATTTTTGAGCAGCAAGTCTATAGCAGAAGTAATTGCAACGTCTGGAAAACAAAAAAGGTTTAATAATGCAGCTTATACATAAGATGTTCTTGACTTTCAAATGGAATTCTGTGAACATTTTAGCTGATACAGCTATGAAACTAAGACCTACTTTCATGATTGGTTGCTTTAAGGGTACTTTTGAACGAGTTACTAAATCAGACTGTTTCAAAAGAATATACTTCAGAAAATAATTTTACATGCCATCGCACTGTTTTAGAATAACTATACTAGCTGAATAAAAACCACCTTTTAACTACATGCTTCATCTTGTGAGGAAGAATAAGTTTAATGTGGATTTGCTTATAGTAAGAATCTTTACTGTAATAACTATAACTAACTACGTTTTGTACAAATCGCGAAATTAAAAGCTAAAAACGAAAACAGGGAAACCACTTTCAAATATGTTCCTGATAATAATGGATTAGCTATAACTACTGTATAGTAGTTTAATAGATAATGCATTAACTTTCTACCAATATAATATCACATATTCACCTACATTATATGTTGGCCTCTATTACTATAAAGCGTGGCATAATAATACATGCTACGATTAACATGCAATTACATCTGAGGAACTCTGATAGAACATAATGAGAAAGCTTTTCCTGATTCTCCTAATAAGACTCGAATCCCATTGAATCCTTTCCAGTTGTTGTTGTTGCTAACGTATGCCTGTTTAGGCAGAGGGGTGCGATTGTTCCTGTTTTCCAGTTGCGCCATCTATGGCCAAGAATTCGACTTCTGTCACACACATTCATTGCACCCGTTTATAGAGTGGATTCATTCATACATCCATTCATTCATTCATTCATTCATACACAGATCGTAATTTTGACCTGAATCAGAGAACGATCGATCTCCAATCCAGTACCCCCAGAGGTATTGATTTGTTATAGGAACATTGAGGACTTTGCGACTCCACAGATTTAACGTGAATCAGTCACCATTTACTACACGGGGAATCTTCGGCCGGCGGGGTTCGAACCCGCAAACTCTCGGACATGGGCCCAACGTCCTACCGACCAGGCTACCCCGGCGATTCGTTTCCAGTAACCTTGCACTATGACTTGATTTCCTGTTTTTTCTTGGATTTGATATCATGTAGAAATTTAAAATCAAAGACTTCGTTAAAATAATTTATGGTTACTATAATAAATTTCTTAACAGAAAAACTGTTCGATATTAATTCTTTAAAAAAAATAATTCTAACATTAAAAAATATTTACTTGAGGTTTGGACCATCTATTAAAGGCCATGGTTCTGAGTTAAGTAAAGTGTAGACAGCTCCTTTCATGGCAGGACAGCAAATTTCAAGAATTGGTTCCATAACTTCGAAACATTTGTTAATGTTTCTCAAATCACGAACAGCTTCAAAATAATCATTAAAGTCCAAAATTTTAGAAAGAAGCTTACTATTTTATTTTTTATTAAAATCATGAAAATGTAATTTTCATTGCCTCTCCAGCTATTGAGTTTTTGAACACTCATGAAATAAATAACCGACATTAGTTACTCTGGAATTAAGATAGTATAAAATAACAATTGCACGTAATCAAATTCAAATTTCAAAATACTTTTTTTCATAACTACTCTTAATATTATTTTACTATTACTTGCAAACAATGATCAATGATTAATAATGTATATACAGGGTTATTCATAATTCCCGCAGATCAACGAAGTCAAGCATCACTGGCTGCGGTCAGTGTGCGGGTGGGTGACCACTTGGATCAGTTTGCGTAGGGACCGAGGGTGTGCGGTAATAGTCCTCGTTAAACTGTTCTAACGTAAAGTGCTCGACTTTGTGTGCAGGTCGTCGGGCTACCAATGCAGGGGTGCCATCCCCTCTGCAGAGGATCAAAATTGTGATGGCATGTCTTCGGATCATCCTCAGGGATGCTTCCCAGACGGTCGCCAATAGCCCATTGTGCGGCTCTAGTGCGACGTAAATGAACTACAGCAACTACAACAATCATAATTCCCTCCCGGCAGGAACTGGATTATAGCATTGATATATGCCGTGTGACCAAGGGTTCACACATAGAACACCTGTAATGCATGTAAGTAAAACTTAAATAGTTACGGAATAATTTCGTATGTTTCTTTTTTTCATATTCGTCTTCTTTTTTTTACTATAACGCTTCGAAACCCCGGAGGGAATTATGAATAACCCTGTATTATTTCAAGCATGTGAACTGTTATAAGAATGAAAGCGTAAGCGTACATGTTTACAAATTTCTGAATGACAATTGTTTTCTTTCGTGGACAACATAACGCTAAAACAAACTAAGCTTAAGTTGGAAAGAATTTAAAGGTTAAACCAAATAGTTCATATCAACAGACTATGTGTTTATATCCTGTTTTAATTATACTTATGCTGGTTCAATAACAATAATTTTATTCATCATTATTGTTATTCATTAAGAAAAGCGTAGAAGAAAGCGTTGATGATAATTTTGAAAGACATGTCATTGAAAGAATGCATAGGAGATGTGTCCTCATGCATGATATTTTTTAAAAGCATAATTGTTGTTTTACTGAAAGTTTTTCTATTGCTTGTCGTTTATTTCAATTTTAAAAAATTTATTTCAATAACGTATTACTGACTAAAAACTTTAATTTTTTTTAAAACGAAATTGATTTTTAAAGTTTTAATAATTATTTTGAATAATTGGTTGAATTAGTTTGAATTTTACTGTAGAATACAATTAAAAAATGGGATAGAAAACAACTGAAACTTCTCTAAACTTAAAATATTAAATCTCCCCTGAAGAAACGCATCTGCAGAATTGAATGACTAGGAGTCATAGATAGTAAATAGCAAAAAAAAAGCTTACGTGCAACATTTGTTCCTTGGTCATAATTGTTAACATCTGGAAAAATAACAACAGTAAGGTTAAATTGAATTTATCAATTTCAAAGTGATTAAAACGTATCATTTTTCATTAATTCATACAATATATTACATAATTATAGAATATTTATTATATCAGCTAATATATTAGTGTATTAAAATAATTCGACCAAATTATTATACGTACTGTAGTTTTTTAATAATTACACGTTTTGCAGGAGTTTATAGGCAATGCTTTTATATTTAAACATACGTGTAACGGGTTCTTATTCAAGAGACTTTTTATGTACGTACTTCCCATTTGTATTTATTTTTAGCGTATTGCGTTACAATGTTAAAAAATTAATACACGAACGTAAACAAGTACAAACCGGTTTCTGTCGTGTAAAAACAATAAAGCTGTATAATATTACATTATAATTAAGATTTTACAAAGAATCCTTAGTGCGTCTAATAATTTGTCTCGGGACTGTATATACATAGTTAAAAGTGATACCTAAATAGTAAGGCACTTAAACTGTCGCTTTTTTTTTTAATTTTCCTTGGCGAAAGACCTTCGAAAAATCTTAATCAAATTCCAACAGCTGAACTTTTTCTATATTTTATTTATTTTTTAGGATTTCCGGCAAAATTAAATTCCTAGCTCACTTTAGCATCCAAATAAGAGTCTCGGTGCTGCCATCTAGTGTGGCAGAAACTAGACGTCCAAATTAACATGACCAACGGTATCTCACCCATTGCGGTGGTCCTGAAAGAATGGATACCACTTCTGGAGAACGCACTAGGTCTGATCATGTGTGCGCACTTGTGCAGCTCATTGGAAAAAATAAAAAGAAATTTATTTTTTAGGAGGACGTAGAAAAAACATTAAGGCCATTTAATTAAAAAAATATATATATAAAATCTTACGAAAGTAACACACAAAATCCTATCACAAAAGAGAGAATCGTTTACTAATTGCCTATATAATTCATATATAAAAAAGAGATCATTAGTACGAAATAACACGATCTATATTCATAAAAAAGAATCAAACATTATATGCTAACGACACAATCTGTAAATAATAATTAGATAAATTTAATTATACATTGAAATCATTTTTTAATCTTTTTTAATCTTTTTTATTCTTTTTTTTGTGAAATTCAAGGAGATACTCACCTTTTTGGAGGTAGTCAATTGTATATTTAAATAGCTTTTGGATCATGTTAATATCTTGCTTATCACAGTGACTGATTTTTTGCATGACACAAAGAATGTCGCAATGTCTATAAAAAATAATAAATAAAGAATTAAAAGAGAAAATAGTAAGTGAAACAGAATGAAAATACAGGGTGCTTATAAAGTCCCGAACCCATTTTGATGTTTAATAACTCATAAAATAATAAAGATAGATTAAAATTAATAACATAAATGGTTAGATAGACTCAAAAAGTTTCATGATCCTTGTCAATGAACTTCCACGTGTGCCCCCTTCGTCGCACGGAGAATATCAAGTCGATAGTCAATTTCACGCCAGGTAGCGGCAAGCATGTCGGCATCCACAGAGGCTATTGTGGTTGTAATTCTGGCTTTTAGGTCATCAATGTTCGACACGATCCTCCTGTGAACATTGCCCCTTATAAATCCCCAAGGAAAAAAGTCCAGCGACATTATATCAGGTGATCTGGGTGGCCAAGGAATTGAACCTCCTCGCCCAATCCATCTTCCTGGAAAATGGTCATTCAAAGAACTACGAACGATGATACCCCAATGAGATGTTGTACCATCTTGTTTCAAAAAGACATGTGGCTGAAGCTCTTCTAGTTGTGGAAATACGAAGTTTTCCAACATGTCTAAGTATACGACTAATGAGACCGTCTTTTCTGTAAAAAGGAAAGCTACCAGGTGTGAAATTGACTATCGACTTGATATTCTCCGTGCGACGAAGGGGGCACACGTGGAAGTTCATTGAGAAGGGTCATGAAATTTTTTGAGTCTATCTAACCATTTATGTTATTAATTTTAATCTATCTTTATTATTTTATGAGTTATTAAGCATCAAAATGAGTCCGGGACTTTATAAACACCCTGTATAATGCAAAAATTTTAAAACCTGAACTATTTATATTTTCATAACCTAGAAATATTAATAGCCGAACCCGGACCGACGGAATAGAACAACCACCTGCCGAAGAATCCCTGTGTATTAAATGGTGACTGGTGCACGTCAAATCTGTTGGGGTCATAAAGTTCTCCTAATTCCCATAACAAATCAATGTCTCTGGGAATACTGAATTGGATATTGATCGTTCTCTGGTTCCGGTCAAACTTCCGATGGATGAATGGAGTATGATTGGGTCCTCCCTGTAAAACGGGCTGTCACTAAAGTCATAATCTTGGCCATAAATGACGCCACTAAAATAACAAGAAAAGCATCTGATGCTGGATTTCAAGCAGACTGTTTGGCACTGGCAAGTGAACTAAGTAGAGCCGTGGTGGCTCAGAGGATGGAACATTCGCCTTCCAATAAGGTGAACCCGGTTCTAATCCAAAAGATGGCTGGTCTATATGAATTCCACACCCGACTCGCACCGACCACCGTGCTGATGTAAAAATATCCTCAGTGGGAGACGGATCATGGGTTAGAGTTCCCTTGCAGTCAGGCTAACAGTGGGAGGTTTTGTGGTTTTCCTCTTCGTGCAACGCAAATGCGGGTTAGTTCCATCCCAATATTTGATCCTGGAGCTTCCTTTTCTTTTGGATTGGGCTCAAAATTACAAGACTGCGGAGTTGAACATTAGTAGTCGCAAACCCAAAATTGGGTCAGGTTGTTCAGCGACGGTTATGAAAATGGCATCAGTAACAACAAAGTAACAACTTAATCTACACATGTTCTTAACAATCACCAGTGCATCTTTGCTTCTCTATTATAATAATATAATCGATAAAAACATTAGAAGATAATTTGTGAAAAATATTGTTTGTTTTAAAAAATAATATAGTTAAATGTTGATTGAATATTGTTTGATTATGTTGATTAAATATCGTTTGACTATATTATATTAAATAGTTTCAAAGGAGGAATAGAATTATTTATGACATTAAAATGCTATTTGTCATTACAAGAGAATGCTTAATACCTAATCTTAATTTGACCTAACTCATTATAAGTACAAAGCATTTTACTTTATCATAAGAAAATATTTCAAACATACATTAACGCTTAACATTAAAATATTAATGAAGTTAAATTCCTATTATAACTAATCTCATTCAATTATGTTGCCAAGGCAACTGGAATACTCTTCTTAATATCGAAATTTAATATATATTGTAACGTACATGATAAATATTAATCTTAATAGCTCCCTCTGCCTCACTAGAGTTGAGATGTCTCAACAGATTAAATTTAGATAATGAACAAGCCTGTACACAGATAGTTACAATCAAGTCCAGTCTATCAATCAGAACTAAGGAAATTAAACTCTTCAACCAAAATTACCAAATATTCATAGATTTAAGTTAAATATTGTTATAGCAAACTAATAAACTTTATTTATGGAACAAAATCAATATAGTTCTGAAAACATGTACTTTACCCGAGTTCTGTTTCATTCCATGGGAAATAATGCCCTCTATGTATTGATATAATTGCTTCAGTGGCGCTCGGGCAACAAATCATCAATTCACTTGCAACTCTTTGAAAACAATCTTCAATAGCTGCATCTAAGAATTGTATCAAAATTATAATCAAAGTACCAAATTCACAAATATCAGTACAATGCATTATACTAGCATATTTGATACATATTAAATTTGCATCAATGCTGAACAATTTGGTACTTTGGGATTATCCCGTGGACCATTTTGCGTACTTTGGGATTATCCCCTGGACCATTTTCGTATTTTGGGATTATCCCGTAGTCCATTTTAGTACTTTGGGATTATCCCGTTCACCATTTTCGAATATGGGATTAGTCCACCATTTTGCATCAAAATTAAAATCAAAGTACCAAATACACAAATATAAGTACAATGAATTATATTAGCATATTTGATGCCTATTGAAGCTGCATCAATGCTGAACTATTTAGTACTTTAGGATCATCTCGTCGACCACTTTTGTTCTCTGGTATTATCCAGTCGACCATTTTCGTACTTTGGCATTATCCCGGGGACCATTTTCGCACTTTGGGTCTATCCAGTCTAACATTTTTGTACTTCGGGATTATCCCGTTCACCATTTTCGTATTTTGGGATTATCCCGTAGTCCATTTTAGTACTTTGGGATTATCCCGTTCACCGTTTTCGTATATGGGATTAGTCCACCATTTTGCATCAAAATTAAAATCAAAGTACCAAATACAAAAATATAAGTACAATGGATTATATTAGCATATTTGATGCCTATTAAAGCTGCATCAATGCTGAACTATTTAGTACTTTAGGATCATCTCGTCGACCACTTTTGTACTCTGGTATTATCCAGTCGACCATTTTCGTATTTTGGGATTATCCCGTGGACCATTTTAGTACTTTGGGATTATCCCGTTCACCATTTTCGTATATGGGATTAGTCCACCATTTTGCATCAAAATTAAAATCAAAGTACCAAATACACAAATATAAGTACAATGGATTATATTAGCATATTTGATGCCTATTAAAGCTGCATCGATGCTGAACTATTTAGTACTTTAGGATCATCTCGTCGACCATTTTTGTACTCTGGTAGTATCCAGTCGACAATCTTTGTACTTAAGGATTATCCCGTGAACCATTTTCGTACTCTAGGATTATTCCGTGGACCATTATCGTACTTTGGGATTATTCCGTGAACCATTTTCGTATTTTGGGATTATCCCGTGGACCATTTTCGTACTTTGAGATTATCCCGTAGATCATTTTAGTACTTTGGGATTATCCCGTGGATCATTTTCGCCATATAAATAGTGTATATATGCATCATAAATAAATTATTCTTGTTTCGGCTGCTTTATACCAAGAAGTGAAAAAAAAATATCCTTGGTGTAGGAAACACCTAGATCCAAAAGTTGTGTATGGTATTTAGCTACACCGCTTTAGTCTAAAGTAATTTGGAGCAGAGAAACATGAAAATATTTTACAGAGTACATATGAGGATCAGTAAAGTTATCACCAATTAGCCAAATGGATACTGTTTTGGGTTTGATGGCGTGCGCACCTTATTTGGACGTCATCACACTTTTCAATTGTGTTCAAGAGTAGTAGCTAACAGCGCGCATGCGTCGTCATTGCATGCGGTTGCTATGGCGACAGCTGCTGCTTGATAATTTTTTTAGAATTCTTTTCTTTTTCTTTTCACCAGCAGACATTTTTAGTGTATTTACACAATAATAATTTAAAGTATTGTTATATTCTTTTTATTATTAACTTATAATTACTGTCTTGACGGTGATTTTAATACAAATATGAATACTGACGAAGGAAAAGTACTTTGTGACTTCTTGAAATACGATTGAATTGAACATCAATTGAAACAGTTTTTGCAATCCATGATATGAAATGTTGTGGCATTTATCGGAGTCAATCCAGAAGAGAAAAAAAGCATTTGACCAACGAGTAACCAGTAATAGTAATAAAATTAATACAATTTTTTTTAATTAATTTTCTGTTCGCATAATTTTGCTCACTTAATTGAACAAAACTGAGAAATATATTCTCGCCAGAACTTTTTTTATGATAAAATATAAAGATAGAACTATTAATTTAGGATGATATACAATATATTTTACAGTTAGTTAACTAAATAAAGATACACAGCAGAGAAAGAAAAATATATGGAGTAGAACTAGAACTAAGCTTAAGAAACCGAAACAGAGAAAAATCAAATATTGAAAAACTACTTAATACATTTAAAGATATTAAAGGTTCAAATATAATTATACTTATTTCCTAACGAAAGACATACTTACATATTTTAACCGCAAACTTTTGTTTCATTAGATATTGTATAGCGGCGTGGAAGAAAGCAAAGTAACACTAACTCTTGTCTGATGTAAACAAACTGCTGACGATATCTAAAGTGCTCCAGCGTTGTTGATTTAGAAAGCGAAAATGACTCATTTATTACGTGAATGATCACGAGTTTGGTAGACACTATAGGTGTTTAGATTTAACTACAGACTTTAAATTATGCATGAAAGCTTTATTTGACATCAACATGAAATAAAGTGTTCTTTGGCGCAAATTTTTAGATTGTTCAACATTAAATTTAAAGAGTTTTTACACCACAGTTTTAACAGTGTGAAGATAACAATAGTTAGAGGATTTTCTACCTGAAAAAGAAATGGAAAAATCCAATTTAATTGAGAGTAATCGTGGAATTGAAGGGCTTCTAAAGCCTTGTTTGCACTGTCTAAGTTCTTAAATCCGAGAAATTGGATGATTCGCCGATACTATCCAAGTTCTTGAAAGTCACTGATTGGTCAGATGGAAAACCTGCGCGTGCGCATTGTTTATATTCAACATTATAAAATCATACTTACATGAATTTAAAATTACTAAATAAATTCAAATAAAAGCAATAACACAAACAGTTTAATTTATTTGGATTAAAATATATGAAAACGGACAACGAAATGAAATAATCTGATGTCTGCTTATTGACGTCATAAGACTTAAGAGGCTGATTGGTTAAAGGAGTAAAAACTTAGATGGAAAGTAGAACATGCTCTACTATCATCCAAGGACTTGGACTAAGGACATGGATGATCGCTTACACAATCCAAGCTCAAAGCAAAACAAGTTTCCATCAATTTCAATCAATCTCCGTCCAAGAACTTGGATCGTATAACCAGGCCTTAATTTTTCGTTTAATGTTTTGTAATCTCACAACTAGGAAGTCTCCATAACAAGAAAGGTCTTCTAATGACAATGACTAAGAATATTTTCTCCGTATAACTGAAAGAACTTAATAGAACCGTCGTTGAACAGCAGACCCAATTTTATGGGTTTACGACTACTAAAGTTCACCTCCGTATCCTTGTAATTTTGAACCCAGTCCAGAAGACAAGGGAACTCCTGGATCGAGTATTGGGAGAAATTTTCCTTCGTGGAGGACTTTTTGATGGAGCTAACTCGCATTTGAGCGACATGGAGAGGAAGACAAAGAGAACCTCCTATAGTTAGCCTGACGGCAAGGAGACTCTAGCCCATGATCAGTCTACCACTGAGGATATTTCACTTCAGCTCTGTGGTCGGTGCAAGCCGGAAGAGGAATTCGTATCGACTGGGATTCGAACCCGGTTTGCCGCATTGGAAGGCGCACGCTCTATCCTCTGAGTCATCGTGACTCTAATTGAACTGTTGAGAATATGTATTGTAATGTTCACCTGAATTATTTTTAATGTAGGTAACATGTTTTAACAAGATTTTTGTACGTGTTTACTTACATACATCCTTGCAGTAGAATATATGTATCATTAAACCCAGAGTCAAATCTCCACCTTCTGGGTAACAATCTTCCACAGCGTTTTTAAGGCAGTCGAACGGGCAAACACTGAAAATTAAACACTACTTATTAAAAAGTATTAAACATGATATACTAACTATTTATAGAAACAATTTAAGTTTTCACACAACTGTTTGATAAAGGGATTTATACTTAACTTTAAATTCACCATTCATGGATTTTTGTTTTAAGTGAGAAAATTTATAATTTCGTCTAGTCCAGATTTGAAATGTGAAGCGTCGCTGGATATTTTATCACTTTTTTCTGAAGTCGATCAATGAGATTTGTATTGTAACTCGAGGTCTTAACTTAGTTGACATTTGGAATTTTGATTAATTGTCGTACAGGCTTTATATTTTACAGACTAGATCTTTGTTTGATATTTTTAGTTTTATTCTCAAAATCAGTGAAAAATAACCCTAAAACTTGATGTTCTTGTACATAAAAAAAGCAGAACCAAAACAAATACTGATAAACACACCATGTTTAAAATTATAATTATTATATGTAGATTAGTTAAAAGGACTAATATTGTAAGAAATCACTGAAAGTTTGCTTGTTTTTAAAAATGTAAAAAGCTTTATACCTCGCAAATCATAATTTTTCTACTATTATAAATAAAAATTAATAAATAATGTCTAAAAACTCATTTTACTGGGAATTATTTTTGTATAATTGAACATCATTGTGAAAGAAAAATTTTCAATTTATTTGTTTAAAAACTTTTTGAGATATTGCGAAACACGCAAAACATGAAATTAGCATTAAGGAGTAAGGAATTTTAACTGCTCTACGGCCTAGAATATTGGGACCATATTTACCTGTTGGGACTATCCCTGATTGAGGGTTATGAATCGTAATTTCTCCAAAAAGGCATGTTTATACAAAAAAAAAAGTAAGTTTTTGTACATGGTTTCGTAATTTAAAACATCCTTTACATTAGAATACTTAAAGTAAAACCATAAAACAATTAAGAATTAGTCTTAAGACGTGAAAATCCGATCGTTAGATAAAAAGTTATTCAGGGTGTTCAATCTTTTAGAACACGTTTAGAATCTAACTAAAAAGTCTTTTACAATTAGTGAATGGGAATTGAATAATTACGCTACATTATTCCCTCTCTAGAATTTCATCTTTAATATAATTTGATGAATAGAAATCGCTAGATGATTCATTTCTGTTTTAGAGAGGAAGGGAAAGTAGTATTTAGGTCACCGGGCTTTGAGCGCTAGTCGTGAGATGTGTATTAAGTTCACGGTTGTGGGTCTGGTCACTCCTGTGTTGCAGTTAGCCGCCGAGTTTGCTCAGGCTCCCGTTGTGTGTATTCAAGACTGAGTCGCAACAGCGTGAAGACAATATCGCAGCCACAAATAGCAAGCCAACTGTTCACTGTGTTCCATTCATCAATCTAGACCAGGGGTTTCCAACTTACAAGCAATTAAGAACACCAGTCAAATGGCGGGCCGCAAATTTATCAAAATTTCATATAGGACTCTTATGTTTGTAGGAACATGAAATATTACTGTCAGATTTTTATCAAGTTGTACAAAACAAAAGTATTGAATTACAAATTAAAATCAAAAATAGATTTTTAAGCAACACGCGCAATTATTTTTGTATTTGAAAAAATATTTCTTGGATGCAAAACCTGAGAAGTAAATATTTTATCGTCGTTGGTACGTTAAATTTCACAGAAACGAAGAAATTAGGTTTTTTTAACAAAAGAAAAGTATTTTAAACCCATATAGATTATTTATGAAAATTGTCCGCAAAAAATGACAACTAATATATTTCAGTTCGTGGACCAAAAAAAAAAGGCTTCGAGTGCCGGGTGCGGCCAGCCACTTGGTAACCACTGATCTAGACCTGTTCAAATCGAGGTTAGACGTTTTCAGATCTCGTCCTTAAGTCACCAGTATGCTACCAAAGTCAGCCTTCATCTATCAAAAGGTACCCCAAAACAGAATCTAGTTGGAACGTTGAAAACAGTGTTTATCTCGTTGCGCTGCCGAGACGCAGTAATATCCGATTCTCGGTAATGATATCATAAAGAATATGTAACCTTTATTAGGATTAATACGCGTTTGATATAGTAGTAAACGGAAATTGAATAATTGTAATGGTAGTTGCAGTCAACTTTAATATAAATATCGTTTGTCGAGAACAGCGCTGCGTATCGGTAAACTTTCGAACTATTCTTCTTTATTTCTCAAAATTAGTTCTCTAAATGGTATGTGTATTGCATAGCCATCAGAAATATCAGATTATTTTTACTGCTATTGTTATTTACAGCCTGTTGAAAGTTTGAGTTTCATTACATACACTACAATAAGTTATTATTCTTAGACTGTAATATAAGTTAATATTCTTGTATTGGAATATCTTACATTTCGCACGAGTTTTTTTCATTCCACACATCATCGTTCAGCGTAGCATGCAGATCATCCAACATGACTGGGCAACATTGTGCAAGTTTATTCTTCATCATGCGAACACATAGGCCAATAGTTTGCTTCACTTGATCTAATTAAATAATTACGTGTTGAAATACAAGTCCCTGGCCAAATTATTAGACGCACTATAAGATTCTATCTAAAATCTCAATTGTAAGGTGATACTATACAATTTTATTGTTTTTAAGCGGCTGAAACCGGTTTGCACTTGTATAAGTTCGTGTATCAATTGGTTAACACTACAATGCAATGCGTTAAAAATAGATACAAATAGGAAGTATATAAAAAATCTTCTGAATAAAAACCCTTTACATGTATGTTTATAAATAAAAGTATTGCATGTAAACTTGTATAAAACAAGTAATTATTGAAAAGTTTCATTGTCTCTAATAATTTGATTTAATTATTATAATATACTAGTATAATACCTGATATAATAAATATTCTATATTTATATAATATATCGTCTAATTTATCCAATCGTTGAATTTACATTATATTTCGTCTAATTTAACCAATAGATTAACATTAATAGACACGAAAGTAAACAAGTACAAACCGGTTTCAGTCGAGTGAAAACAATAAAATTGTATAGTATCACCTGATAATTATGATTTTATATAGAATCTTATAGTGCCTCTAATAATTTGCCCAAGGAATCTATATTACTAAAAATTGCTTTTTGGAAACAGCATAATTCGGAAAAAAATATTCCAAACTTTTTTTAAATAACTTTTTTCAAATTTTAACTTAATTATTAGCGTATATGAGAAAAACGTTTTAAAATTTTAAGTCAAAACTCAAATGAAAATTAAAGAAACAGTTGGTTTTTGCAGTTGCTCATTATGGTAAATCCTCAAAACTAACATTTCAATTTCTGGAGGATATTGATGGGTGGCAGGGCTTACTAAAACAATTATTGTACAGAAATGCATGAGCGGAAGTGACGTGNCGATCTCCGAGGTCTGTGGACACAGTGACGTCATGAGGAGGGAAATCGTAGCTTCAGCTCTAAGAGCGGAGTGAACTAGCCCTTCTATTCTCTTTAGCCCTGATCCCTCAGCAGTCATTGCATGCTTGGCGATCTCTGTGGCGTAATTGGCTGACAATATTGGTGATAGTTGAGGGTAATAAAACAATGTGCCAGTGATCTAATGCATCAGCAAAAAAGGAATTACGCTTAAGATTGCGACCAAAATGGGTTATTTTATAAACAGCAAAAAGGCAGACATGTATCTAATCGACGATGTTGCTAATGGTAAATCCGGATTGTATCATGAACGTTTTTTAAGTAGGCGCATGCCTAACATCAAAATGTTTGAGCGATAGCATTGGAAACTTTTCAAAAAGGGTTCATTTATCACTAGTACTGATTTAAGATGTCGATAATAGTAGCATGTCGTCTACATGTCGGCCAGTCACCCACTTGGAGAGTTTTACATGAAGAACGCTTACACTCATTCCATATACAGAGAATCGCAACTTTGTAGACGTTTGATTACCCTCTGCGCATGACTTTCTGCCAATGGTCCTTGCAGTAGAGGGCGTTTCAGTTCCCATTTCATGTGAAACTCACAGATGAGGCGACCTTTACATACGAGCGCGTTTTCTATGTTCATAATTCACATGAGTGGGCAACATGAAACATGCATCCCAGCAACAATTTTCTGCGAATGTTTTGGCAGATATTATGAATGATTACCTAATTGGACCATATCTCCTACCAAACAGACTCAACTTCCACTGTTACCGAATTTTCTAGAAGTGTTTTTAACAGAGTTGTTGCAAGAAGTTCGAATTGGCCTTCGTTATCAAATGTAGTTTCAGCATGATGGCGTGCCTACCAATTTCAATACGGAAGTTCGCAATTACGAGATTACTACTTTTGGTGTGCACTAGATAGGGTGCGCTATGCCAGTTTGATGGCCACCCCGATCACCAGATTTATCGAGTCCCAATTTTTTCCTATGGGGATATTTTAAAGTCCTCCTTTACGAGACTCCAGTTGAAGATTTCGTTGAAGAACTCTTCGTTGGACTTTCATTTACAACTGCACCCCCGCTTGAAACATCCGTCGTTTTCGAATCTCCTACGACGATCCAGGCTTGCATTACTATAAATGGCAGCTATTTTTGAGCATTTTTTCTAAACAGTGCTCTGGAACCACGATGACTCAGGAGATTGAGCGCTCACCTTCCGATCAGGTGAACCGGGTTCGAATCCCAACAGTGGTTGGTCGATACGAATTCCGCATCCTGCTTGCACCGACCACAGTGATGACGTGAAATATCCTCAGCGATCAAGGGGAGTCATACCCATGATCCGTCTGCCACTGAGGATATTTACGTCAGCACTGTGGTTGGTACGAGCCGGGTGCGGAATTCGAATCAATCAGCTATCTCCGGGATCGAACCCAAGTCACCTCATTAGAAGACAAGCGCTCTTTATCCCTGAGCCACCACGGCTAAGAAAAGGGACAATATGATTAATATTGCGTTCCGGCTGTCTTTACTTCCAAGACCATTTGGGACCCAAGAACAATCTGAAGCTGTGTGAACTTCACACCACCCCTTAACAAGGAAGACTCGGGTCTTCAAACTCCACGGCACAGGAAGTAGAGTAAGACATATTTTTAATTTAGGGAATTTATACTTATCTGATCATCACGGGACCAATAATCCAGGGAAACTTCATCAGTGTTTTCCCGTTTACCAGTTATTTCAAACTAAGTTTAAAACGACGTTTGATTTCTTTAACTTCGAGTTCTTAAAACCGTTTGAGTTTTACCAAATACAGTAGATTCCGGCTCTTGGGCCATTAAACTGAACAGCCAATCACATTTAATGCATCAATAAGCAGGTTTCTTACAGAGGCAATTGACAAGAACTTTTTCAAAACAAAAACTATTTTATGTTCTATACACTTACCTGGCAAATTGAAAGGTGGAAATGGAGAAATGTGGACTAAACTATCAAAGCTCTCATCTATAGGAAAACATTTCACGTTAATTTATTTTAGAATGAATTGTTTTAAGTTAAATTTATTAAAAGAAAAAATATTAAGTTAAGAAATAAAAATAAGAGTGAAAAGTAAATTTTTTAATGAGTTATTGAGTAGTTTTGTGTTATAGGGTTTAGATTTCAAAGTTTAGATTTCAGAATTTGGAAAACCTAAAAAAAAACTAGTTTCTTTTTTTTGTCACTTGCTTTTCTAACTTTACTGTAACTTCTCCATCATTCTGTAACCAATTTTATTTTATATCATTATTATCATATTCACTAATCTTTTAATTAGTCTAATTAATATTTTTTTAACCAGGGTTGGCTACAAATTTAAGATTTAAGATAAATTATCGTAAGATATCAAATAAAAATTATAATTATTTCTTCAAATTTAAAGTTTTCAAAATAATCTAAATTTTTTTTGTATACTTCATTAGTTACACTTATAAATATCTAACAGACAGCAGTGTACTTTATTGATATTTTCTCGAGAAAAAAAATAAAATAAAAATTCACCAAATCTTGAATGCCAGGAAAATGACATATTAAATTAGAAATTTAAAAAACAGTCATTTTAAGTTAATAGTAAGTAACTCAACTTAAGCCTTTGTTTTAAATGAACCATAAATTGCTTAAATTAATTCTTTTTATTCGGTGTAGAAAGAATCAAAATTTTTTTTGTTGCTGATATGTACAGAATAAAATTGTGTATAATAATCAATCATCAAATAAATAAATAACTTTGATTACAGCCAACCATATTACAATCATACATAAACTTGGTATTAGGTTAATATTTGTTTTTCCTCCTTACAGTATTAGCAGTTAAAAAAAAAATTGGTAACACTTCAATGTCCTGGAATTCATAAGTCAGGAAAATGACAGCCAGGATAATGACAAATTTGCCATTTTATAACACATAACTTCACTTTAATTTAATATTTTGAACTAAGACGTTTACATTCTGCAGAAAACAATAGGATTTCTTAAAATAACTCAGATAAATCTATGTAGTTCATGTTATTAATGATTTCAAGAAGCCAGGAAAATGACAACACAAAAACNAAATTGTGTACTACAATTTTTAATGTATGTGTATTTCATATACAAACTACTTATTATTTACTGGCATAAGTACACTAATATTTTTTCTTAAATAGTTGTGAATCATAAATACTTACAATTCGCCCCATAATCGTATATAATAGCATCCATCAACTCCAGCATTACCTGTGAGTTCTGACACAAGAACGCAAATGGTTCGTAACAGAGTTTCGAACACCACCTAAAGATATTAATTGTTTTAATTAAACGTCAAGCGTGTATATCTTGATCATTGAACTGTAAAACCTGTGATGAGACATCTCTTTCAATTTCGAGTTGAAAAATACGAAGGATTGTCTTATGGAACATTTTATCTCACGTTGACTCTTAACTAAACGTTTATTTACACTTTAAAGAGAGTTGTAAAATCGTTAACAAAGCTCCACGTATTCAGTTTCCGGATTAAAACTCGTGTGATGAAAATAAGCTGAACCTCAATGATAAAACAAAACAGTTTATTTTAAAATCTTAAAGAAACAAAGTATGAATTTTAGTCATAGTTATTCGAAACATCCTTAGATTACATTACAAACATAGAAATTATTTAACAGAACCCATTTTTCAAAAAGCAAACTAACTCACATCGAAAATCAACAAATTGCTCGAGCAAGAGCCCCAACACGCACGCCCAAACAGTATACGTAATAGTTTACGCAGTTAAAGAAAAGAACAACTTATTTCTTCTTAACGAAAACAGGGTTTTATCTTATATATTGGTCCCGCAGTGAACTGATCGTTAAGACACGGCTCCCATCAGATCACCGAAGTCAAGCATCACGGGCTGCGGTCTGTGTGCGGGTGGGTGACCACTTGGATTAGTCTGCGTAGGGACCGAGGGTGTGCGGTATTGGTCCTCGTTAAACTGAACTACCGTAAAGTGCTCGACTTCGCGTGCAGGTCGTCGGGCTACCGAAGCAGGGGTGCCATCTCCTCTGCAGAGGATCAAAATTGTGATGGTATGTCTTCGGATCATCCTCAGGGATGTTTCCCAGACCATCGCCAATAGCCCATTGTGCAGCTCTAGTGTGACGTAAATAAAATACCTACCTATCTTATAAATTGTAACATCTACTTGCGGCTGAACTAATCGTGGCCGTTGAAGCACAATAACTTCAAAATTTGAACGATAACTTAAAATTTAATATATAAATATAAATTTAAAAGAATAAAGCTAATTTTTAATAATAAAACACGTTATATATAACCTGTAGTATTAGAAAAATCACCATTAAAAATCTTTAGTTCATACATGATTCATTTTATGAGAATCACAATTTTGCAAAATTATAGAAATAAATATTTCAAACATTATACAAGGAATTGCATTCAACAGAAAATTAAGAGAAAAAGCTATATTTAAGATTAATTATCTATTGGTAATAAGTCCCGCAGTGAACTGATCGTAAAGACACGGTTCCAGGACGAACATCGAAGTCAAGCATCACTGGCTGTGGTCAGTAAGCGGTTGGGTAACGACTTTAATCAGTCTGCGTAGTGACCTATAGTGCGCGGTATCGTTCATCGTTAAACTGCTGTGCCTTAAAGCGCTCGACATCGCGCACAGGTCGTCGGGCTACTAAATCAGGGGAGACATCCCCCCTGCAGAGGATCAAAATTGCGATGGCATGTCTTTGGATCATCCTCAGGTATGTTTCCCAGACCGTCGCCAACAGCCGATGGTGCAGTTCTAGTCCAACGTAAATAAAGTACCTGCGTGCCTATTGGTAATAAGCTCAATATAACTGTCGATCATTTGATTATTTCCTCCGCAGTTTTTAGAGATACATCTCGTATGTTATCGCTACCAGAAAAAATCTCTAGTACTCTTCCTAAACTCCTTTTTAATGGAAGAAAACAGCCAGAATTAATAATCACTTGATTACTCACCTTGATCATTACTTTCGCCTACCTTAATATTGTGTCTGTTGGAATACCGTCCCGTAGTGGACTGATCGTTAAGACACGGTTCCCAGCAGATCACCGAAGTCAAGCATCACTGGCTACGGTCAGTGTGCGGGTGGGTGACCACTTGGATCAGTCTGTGTAGGGACCGGCGGTGTGCGGTATTGGTCCTCGTTAAACTGTGCTACCGTAAAGTGCTCGACTTTGCGCGCAGGTCGTTGGGCTACCGAAGAGGGGTGCCATCCCCTCCGCAGAGGATCAAAGTTGTGGTGGCATGTCTTCTTATCATCCTCCGGGATGTTTCCCAGACCATCGCCAATAGCCCATTGTGCAGCTCTAGTGCAACGTAAATGAACTACAACAGCAACATGTCTAAAAATTCGCGCTGGACGAGCTCTTTGCGTAAGCTTATAGCTCTGTATTTTCATTAACGAGGTTATTTTAAGTTTGAGACTATTCAATGGCACCATCTAGGACCCAGAGGACCTTGGATGCGTCTAGGACCATCTAGGACCTTGCATGCGTCACAGACCGTTTTACTGAGAGGTATCATTCATGCACATTCCATCCATTCATCCATTCGCTGATCATAATTCTGACCTGCACCTGAGAATGATCAATATCCCACCCAGTGCCTACAGAGTTATTAATTTGTTCTGGGAAAATGGAAGACTTAGTTACTCCAACAGATTTAGCGTGCAAAAATCGGGTCTCCGGTCCGCGGAATTTGAACTAACGACCTTTTGGTCACTAGTCCAGCACCCTACCAACCAGGCTATCCCATTCCCCACTTCTGACGACTTTGAAGTCGAGATAGATGCTCGTATTTTCACCGAATTCGGAAACTTTGAGTCAGCTTTTGCTTTATCATCTGCTATTATACCTTTTGTTACTCTAGCTAATTAAATATAGTTTAAATTTAAAAACTGCTGTTCTCCCATCGAAATGTCTCATAAAGGACAAACTATAAGAAACATCATAAACAATGGTGCAAAATATCATCGAATTTATGAAATATTTATTGTTAAAAAATGCACATAAAGTTTGCGAATGCCAAACGATCGCCAAATAGCAACATTGTTCAGGGTTGCTCACAACCTTCTCCCAAAAATAGCGAAATAGTGTAGTTCGTTCACCAGAAGTTGAGACTTGGCTCCACCTCCTGGGACGCAGAGTTCATTTCAGCGCGGGAGTTAGAAGAGAAACATCTCCGTTGTTGAAATTGAGACAACCCTTAATTTGCGCCAAACACAAAAAGTGAATTATTTTTCAGTCATTACTTTGCTTTATCATCTGCTATTATACCTTTTGTTACACTAGCTAATTAAATATAGTTTAAATTTAAAAACTGTTGTTCTCCCAGCTAAATGGCTCATAAAGGACAAACTATTCACTCAAAAGAAAGAAATATCATAAGAAATGGTGCAAAATATAATCAAATTTATGAAATATTTATTGTTAAAAAAATGCACATAAAGTTTGCGAAATAAATATTTTTGCCCAACGATCGCCAAATAGCAACATTGTTCAAGTTTGCTCACAACCTTCTCCCAAAAATAGCGAAATAGTATCGTCGCATGCCACGTGATGAAGGTGGAGCCAAGTGTCGTCGTATGCCACGTGATGAAGGCGGAGCCAAGTGTCGTCGCATGCCACGTGATGAAGGCGGAGCCAAGTGCCAACTCCTGTTGAACGAGCTATATATCTCTTCGTAAAAAAGTATTGTATGTCCTATTATACGGCGTAGATGATATTTCGCGGATTTAACAACCGCCTCCCATACACCTCCCATGTGAGGTGCTGAAAGTGGATCATAATTCAACCTGATATTTTTTATCAGTTAGATGATGAAACACTTTATCTTGATCAGCTATGGACACATCAAGTTTTGGTCTTTTGGTAATATTTTATATGCACCAAGGAAGTTTGCCCCAAACTTAAAGACAACATTGCCAACGTTTGACAATGAAATGCTTTAAAACAGCAATGAATGCTTCTGATGTCATGTCACCAGCTAATTCCAAATGAATTACTCTTGTTACAAAGCATACAAAAGGTGCAATGTAAGTGTAAAGTGCTATACCAAAAAAAGCTTAATCATTTAGGGTTCCACGGCAGTAAAAAAATTGGGAGCCTCAGCCTTAAACATTGATCCTTTATCTGTTTCAGCTTCGGAAGTTGTAGAGAGGAATCATCTACCATACTTCATGTTTTGCAGACTTAATTTTCCGGAACTAAAAAAATTCAATGAAATAACGAATTTTAAGTGTGCCTCAGGTGCTAAGAACGCCAGACTTGAGAAGAATTCCAAAAGATGACTTTAAAAGTTGTTTCGGAAACTTTTGCAATCAACTTTAGAAACGCTTTATATCGGAGGAAGATATATGAAAACATATTAAATGGGTATGAAATTCACATAGTCAGTCGTGGGTTCATAGGTCAATCGCGGAATTTTTTTAATCGCACCTCGAACAATAAAATGAACGAATCAATCAGAAATCTTTTATGAAGTTAAGCTATCTTACTTAAGTCCATCTCTGTCTGTATGCATAGGCACATTCAGCACTTTTGCAGCAATGACAGTGAAAAGTTCGGGGCAGCATGCCTTCATCTGACGTTCGTTGTCACGTAGACATTGGGAGATAGCTAGTCCCTCTGCAATGATGAAAATGATATTTAATATCAGATATAATTTAGTTTATTTTATAAACCGGCGTTGTACAACTGGTCCAATTCTGAGTTTACGACTATCCATACTCAAATCAGTAGCTCTGTAATTTTGAATTCAACCAAGAAGGCAGTGCAACTCCGGGATCAAACATATTGATAAGCTAATCTTCGTGGAGAACTTTTTGATCGAACGAACCCGTATTTGCATTACATGTAGAAGAATCCCACCCGCGGTTAGCCAGTGAGAAAAAGAAATTCTAACTTATGAACTATCACAGAGGACATTTACATCAGCGCTGCAATCGGTGAGACCCGGGACCAAAACTCGAATAAACCAGCAACTGCTGATATTTGAACCTTTACACTGAATTAGAAGGCAGACGCTCTCAAGCTTTGTCCTCTGAATCACCACGACTCTAATGGCAGATATATTTAATAATCCTCGTTGATCAAATTTTTTGGGTTTACGACTATTAATGTTCAACTCCAAAGCCTTGTAATTTTGAACCTAATACAGAAGACTAGGGATTTCCTGGATCAAGTATTGGGAGAAATTTACCTTCGTGGAGAACTTTTCAGTGGAACTAACCCACATTTGCGTTACATGGATAAGGAAATCACAAAAACCTCCCACAGTTAGCCTGATGGCAAGGGGACTCTAACCCACGATTAGTCCAACACTGAGGATACTTTACGTCAGCACTGTGGTCAGTGCAAGCCGGATGTGGAATTCATATCTACCAGCCATCACTGGGATCCGAACCTGGCTCACCTAATTGGACGACAAACACTCTATTCCCTGAGCCAGTGCAGCTCTAATAGCAGATAGTACAGTTCCGTTAAAGTTTGATAGGTGGAGATTCAAAATAACAAGCCGCGACCTATTAGAATTATTTTATGTTTGTCTTTGGTGGCCTCACATTAAAAACCTACGAAAACTAACCAATAACAGGTTTTTACGAAAAAACCACAAAAACCATCAAATGATACGTTTTTACGAAAGGAAAGAAGGGATGAAAAAATGGAGAAACTCGAATTGTAATATTTAGATAAATGCGGTAGCGATTACGATGTAGTTTTTTACGCTGATAAAA